AATTAATCGCGGCGACTTATCATAAATATTTATTCCCCAGAATTTCTCCGTCCGGCGCAACCCTTGCCTGTTGATCGCGGAATGACGTACCTCAATCATGACTAAAAAACACGTTTGATTGACAATAAACGCGGGGATCAAGTTTGTGGACAAAGGTACAAAGGTGCGCCGGAGGATCCTGGATCTCTTCGAAGGAAGGATGACACATATCCTGGGAGCAGAGTGTCGGTTTTTCCGCTTCCCTCCTTCTTGGGCATGAACTAAGTCCTCGGCATCTTTACCAATAGTGCCGTAATCGTAAACCCGATAACGCGACCCTGATCCTTAGGCCGAAAGAAGAAACTACGCGTCGTTACCACTCATCGAAGAAAATCGTTAAAACGTCTCCCGAGTCCCGGTTCCAATCGGCTGATTTTCAACGACGAGTGAACCGAGTCTGCCACCGATTTATATTATGCAAACGCGTGTTAGCGCGTACATGCACGGGCACCGAGCAAGTGCACACGCGCCTCTCCACGCACGGAAAGTGAAAGCGAGATAATCTTTCGAAACTCCCCAGCGACTGAAAATAGGGCCGCTTTTGCGAAAAACCGGGCCGATCACAACTGATCGAAAAAGAAAAAGGTCCCCTCACCTGAATAGTACCCCATGACAGTTTTATTCATAAAATTTGGTTCTGCTGTCTTTTCGACGATATCTCGCACATTGTCACATCTATTACGAGATGTTAACGCAGATATTAAATAACAATGAAAGATACACGGGTTACAATTTAAGTAACTAGGAGGAATTGAGCAATTTTCCTACAACCCATTTCTTCAAGAACTCCGGCGCCACCCTTAAATCCGAGGGAGATTCGATATGACCGTTTGCCATTGCAACCGTTGCAAAAATAAAAAGAGAGTAGTGAGTGCGTCCCAAATAAGGATATAAACGGATTTTTAATTATTGTTACGGAATTTCATGAATGCCTTTGGGAACTTAAGTGGAGGTGCATTTTCTTCGGTGCACCCGGTAACGACGCCCGCTAATGCGACGTTAATGGTCTCCGGAAGCTGTAGTTGCATTTTATGTTTTATTTTTTTTTTATTTTGTTCCTGGCGCCTTAGAGGATTTCTTTTCTGTCCTCACTTCCAGTAGGAATCTATTGTGCGAGTCATCAATGGACGAGTAATTCGCGACCGTGCGACAGCTGACTCCACTGCAAGGAGTTCGCGATGTAATAGAGGCGCGTCATCGGCTTCCTGCTACGCTTTCTTCATGCCATTTCTCCGGCAATAGCTGCACGCACTTGTCCGGCACGTAGCTAGTAACATCGGAGTAGAAAGATAGTAGCAGCCAATGGCAAAGCAATCTCTTCCGCCGATAACGGACTACACGTACGGCTCGAACGAATTGTTCAGCCACAAAAATGTAAAATCTGCAAAACGCATTTGCGAAAATCGAAAGTGATGCTAATTAACTACATCATTTATTTATTTTTACACTTTTCATTATATGCTGTGATTGATTACACAGTGATATCAGTAACTGCAGCGAGATGCAATTACGTGGGTAATTGTAGCGGGGAAAAAAGTAATAGCATCCAATCGCGAGGCAATGACTTCCAACATTGTCCCCAAAATTCGAAATTTCAAACAATGTTAACAAAAAGGAAAATCAATGCACATGAAATCGAACCTCAAGTCTTGTTTATGGGCGCAGGCTATACACATAATCACCCAGAAGAAGTGATAAGAAGTTATAATCGATAAAAGCGTCCTAAGATACGAGCAGTAGCTAAGTACAGGTTTGGTGCAACTATGTAGATAATTATACATGTTCCAGGAGAAGGTTTACTCTCGTCGGCAAAACGGAATCGTATGCCATTGTCGTCTATTGGCGAACGTGGAAGATGCAGTAACGGTATTCGTCCAAGTGTAAATGAAATCGGTATCAATTCACTTTAAGACTTAGATGTGGAGCAAAGAAGTATAACAGCGTCCTCGTAGGATGTGACTATGCAACGGGGACAGTGGTTTTTTGGTCACTGCAAGATGAGGTACCAAGGATGGCAGCAGAAGGTGCAGCAAAATGGGAACCGTTGGTAGCAGTGATGGTAACGGGATGTTTCTAAAGAAAATCCGCGAATCTAGGTGGTGGCGATCTAAATCGACGAGATTTTCCTCATCCGAGTTCAATAAACACCCATAAACGCGGTACCAAAAAATAACCACGTGGTACCGCGTCGGTACCAAGATGGCCGCCAATGGCGCCTCGACGCGACCCGAAGCGCGCTTCTTGCGTCCTCCATTAATTTGTCCACCGAAGAACGAATAATTTCCAGTAAAATGCAATAGGCATAAGTGACGAAAAATCCTATAAGTAAATGCGTAATAAGTTCAATGTCCTCCACGCGGAACTTTCGAATTTTCTGTCAACCCCCTCGATTCGCAAATTCCCCGTTAAGTGCGGCGTTCCCGTTTCCCTCGAATCATTGTGTTCGCCATGAAACGCTAACCCCACGGTTATGTAAGTCGTCGGTAAGTGGTGGCAATTTACCGCACTGGTCCCTACGTTCCATTTGCACCGCTTCTGGCCGATAGATCATAAGAACCTACGTGGAAGTTCGCCGAACGAAATCCCGCAACGTTGAGAAGATATCCGCGAGATATCGGTGCGCCCCTCGGATAAATAATTAAATAATTGGAGAATTAATTGAACCGATTGAGTAGTACCAGCTCCCCATAAGAGCGGTAACGAGTCTCTCGTAAACGCACCGCAAACATCCTTGGGAGAAAGTGTCCAGACCTCGGAGGAAAACGGCCTTAGCTGACCCGATCCCTCCACCGGGCCGAAAAGTGCACGTCGGTTGCAACAGCTAAACGAACATTCGACCGGCGGAAACAAAATTCCTTATCGAGCAACAACGAGATCACCCGATTTCTCCGGGACTTAATTGCCCGGCGTAAATTGCAGCCCGCGGAATTAAACGAGTATACATCGACGCCGAACAGAGCACGCACGGGTGACCGCGCAATTGCAACCAGTGGACGTACACCGTGCATCCCCTGCATTCAAACTCGGAGCTGGAAATCCCGTCTATCACCACGGAACACGAGTTTCGAAACCTGGCCCACCACCCAAAGCCAAGATCAACATCGGATGACCAACATTTAATGCCTTTCCTCTAATATCGATTATATAAATTTGAAAAATAGTGCAAAGAGCCCTGATAATATATTCAAGAGACGTTGCAAAATGGTCCGTACTCCTCTGTATGTTATAAAATATCTGTTCCTGATAAGCAGGGTCGTCTAGGAATCGCATCCCTCGGTGGCGCATCGGTGCATCCCCGATATCATGATTTCCCCAAAGTCGGAGCCGGCGAACTTACCGAGCCCGGCTGCCTCCTCTCCCTCTCCCTCAAAAATTTCTCCCTCTCGGTTTCTCTCGTGCACCTGCGGCGGACGCTCTCTCTCTCTATCGCTCCGGTGGGACCTGGCAGCCTCCTGTGGCACTAAAGGTCCATCGGGTGGAGAGCGCGCGCGCGCCGCCACTTCCTGCCGGACCTTCGAGGGCGGCGGTTCTTCCGCACCTCAGGGGCGGTTCCGGGTCCTGCGGCGCGGGGGTGCGAGAGGGCCGGGTGGGAGGAGGCCGTGTCCGAGAAGCACGACTCAAAGTGCCGCCCGTTCGGGTGTTCCTCGGGAACTGGGACCGCCATAGGCCCTGGCTCTTTTCCCGGCCACGGCGAGTCGCCGCTAGAAGTGGGGCCTGGGGTTTTCGCGGTGGGGGAGACGTCCTCCGGGGGCTTTTACCCCACTTCGAGGACTGGCCCCGTCGCTGTCTCGCGCTCTCTCTTTCTCCCCACCTACCGGGTCCTGGCGCCGTCTCTCTCTTTTTAAGCGCGTCCATCCGACTATGTCGGGCATTGGGACTCGCTCTTTCGCGCGGTGCGACTCTCCTTATTTGTGTCGCCCTCTTGCTCCCTCTCGCGGGCCGCCCCGTTCTCTCGCTCCCTCCCTCCGGGCGAGAACACTCGGGGGTCCACCGGCGCCGAGGTTTGGTGCTCGACGCGTATCGGCTACTTCGACGCTGGTACCGCGCTGGTCAGGGTTACGTCACTCTAAGAAAGTTGTACAATGCTCCTCTCTCCGCAACGGGCGACCCGCGATTGGTCACCGCGGATATTGGCGGATTAGGGTCGTCGGTTTCCTGGCTTATTGGGAAACGCTGGTTTCCTTCTATCCCACCTTTCGGGACTTTTCATTTCTGTCAGATTCAGAAACTTCGAAATTGAAGCACGGGCCAGAAGTCCAGGAAATGCTCTTTTGGAACTTTTTGTGTAAATGAGAATATTGATATGTCGTGTCAATAAAACCGACGCTATTGTTCATCGCGGATATTGCAGGTTTAGAATCGCCGATTTTCTGCATTGTTAGAAAACTCAGTTGTCATTCTAACCTTTCTGAACCTCGCATTTTTTTTCTGCACTATATTCAAGAACTTTGAAATGGAACACGCTTCAAAACCTAGGAAATACTCGTTCTGCTGCATTGACAAGTCGTATCCACAAAACAAACGCACTTAGTCCCTACAAATATTGAGGACCTATGATAGCCGATATCTCGTGTCGTTAAGAATCGTCCCCTTCTTTTTGTCCTATCCTTTGGACCTTTCAAAAATCGCTCTAAATATTTTTCTTAATATTCTCCGCTCTATATTTACAAACTCCAAGCTTCAAGCACGCAATGGAATCCAGGAAATACTCATTTCGGGGCTCGTGTGATATCAGTGATACCATCGATAAGTCGTGGCGAAAAAACCCACCGGTGACGAGACACCCTTCGGGATTAAGACCTCTTCAAGAACAACCGAGACGAAGGATTATCCAAATATGGCTCACTGAGACCAGCGATGACGAGCCTCGTCATCCAGAGGAGTCAAGGGCGAAGATGAGCGTAATCGCGGCAATGATCTTTGTACGTGTTCCCGGGAAAGAGGTATATCTCACGACTTACGTTCTCTCTCTGGCGATGCTCCGCGTGTTCCCGAAGAGCCTCCCCCGACGAGGCCGAAGCTTCCAGGAGGACTTCAGGATGTCCCGGCGTCCTTCCGAGTGTCCGATGGAAAATTAAGGAAATTTATACAGACAGGAATCCAAAGTCTTAGCAACTTCGGGTACGCCGGTGCAATCTGCAACGTGGGGATGCACAAAATGAGGTGCACTCACTCTTTCGCAAATCGCAAAACGCTCGACCTCCTGGGGAGGATTTCGCAATGAAACGCGACGCGACGAATTTCTGGCTCGATTGTTTGCGCCAATCTGCCTGACCGACCGATGCCCTTCGATTTCAGGATACTTCTGATAGTGCACCTCGCTTCTTCACCAACTCAAGCTTCCCGCCATGTTGGTACCGTGCGCAACCAACTTCGTGTCGGAGGAATGCCACCGCGCTGACGGTAACGCAGACGCTGCGCACTGACGAAGCGAAAAGGCTATATCGCAATTGGTCGCGACGTCGTGTATATGCTAATGCTCCCAATTTCCACATACGAAGGAGTCCCGATTGAATCGATTAGACTCGATTATCGCGACGGCCATCGGACGGCGATCCGCGAATCCGCGGAGAGGAACCACCTCGTGTCGCGCAGTTTGCCTAAAAGCTGAAAAATCAAAGAATTATTTGGGAGAAATTCTCATTCACGATATTTCATTTAAATTTTCTCTGGGGTAAAAAAATTCAATTCTTCATATCGCGACTTTGCTCGCGATGTGGGAAACGTATTCATATCTTCACTTGCGAGAGAGGCTCCATGGCCACTCGCCACCAAGCGGATGCGCTGGGAACTTCATTGACTAAAATAATTTATAAAATTAACGAAAGGATTTTACCAAAACGCTTCAGTTGATCGAAACAAACGAGTTTGGTCAAGTGAACGAAAATTCGATTCACTCTACCGAGAGGTTTTCAGAAATTAAATGAATAACTGAATCGGGCGATTTTGTTAAATGAACCGAATGTTTTATTTCTTTACCAATGTTCCCGAGCATGCTGTTTTATTTGGTATACCAAGTATGGGGGAGGTTGATTATTTAATTAATTAATGCGCAATGCAGATTTAACGGGCTGCGCGAAAATATTCGAGTGTGAGGTTATGTAGCTCGCCAGTTGATTTTCCGGGCGAATGGAAGGTGAAATAAAAATTTGAACGTCGATATAAAATAAATCGCTGAGGTTCGTCGAGCTCGAAATTTGGCAAAGCGACGGAATATTTCCCGAGTAATCGAATTCTTGCACAGCGCACCGTCGCTTCGAGGTGGGTAAGCACTTGCGTACATCGACTCATTGCGTCGGTTAATGTACACGTCAGCGGAAAATGTCGCTCATTTGTACCCTAAATGTAACAATGGACTATACCGATAACGATTGTCGAGCAGTAATGACTATGTTTAAATATTCAGTGCAATAATTCGTTTCCGGAATAAGATATTCTCTGCGTCGGAGAGAGGAAACAAGATGGCCGCCGGGCTCCGCCATTTTGGAGAACCATGTCTTCAGTGACGCGACGCTTGGCCAGTGCATCGTAATTTCGAGTAAGTAGCGGCACAAATTACAGTAATAATCTCATTTTTACATCCCACCATTAATTTCACATTATCCCTGACTGTAGTTAAATAAATCATTCCCTTAAAAGGGACATTAAAAAAAGGGAAAAGAAGCAGGAAATGTAACAAAGAAATCATACAAAAATCAAACGACACAAAAAGTTCGTAGGCAAAACCAGCTGTCAAATATCGAGATCCATTGGCCTAGAATGCATAATATAAAGTAAAGACCGGGTAGTAAACGGGCGATCATTCTCCTCGACGTTTACAGTTTCCGCGCAAGGTTACTCGTGAATGGCATTCACCGGACAGAAATCATTTTCAAAGATATGTTAAACAATATCGTTCGTACGTATAACTCGACGATTTATGCAAAACTTCGTTACACTAGTCTTTGCGGCCTAGCAATCACTTCCCTTCTTTCGTCCACGCCGTAACGTTCAGCTTTCAGTCCTCTTTTTGTCGCTTTTATTACATTTCTCCTCTTACCCAATAGCTCAAGTATATCTTGCATAATTTCCCGCGCGAAACGCGAAAACCGGAGCGCGGGAAATGCGATTGAGAGGTTATCGAAAGGGACGCGCAGACGCCATCTTGTTTTTCCTTGGCGTCGTCTTCGAGCGAGTTGGGGGCGCAGAAAAAGGTGCATTTAAATTCGTTTGTGGGCATTTTTGAGGCAAAAAAACACTGCTTACATTTTCCTCGGACTTCCGAGGTGGATTTAACCCGAGATTAGCTAACTGTACGTAAGATTAGCGTTTCTTTGGTCGCGGAGAGCTACTTCGGTAAGGACAGGTCGGCTAAGTAAACGCCTCGGCTGTCGGAGAGCCACGGCAATATTTGATCGTATGTTGCAACTTGGCGGGAGCGAGAGCGACGAAAGGGAGAGAGAGCGCTCGGGAAAGAAGGGAAAGGAGAGCAAGAGGGAGAGATGGAGAGAGATAGGCGAATCGTTTAGCAACGGCGAACACGCGGTCATCAGCTCTCCTCCGTTTCGCAACGAGGTGCTAGCGGGTGCGTTTCCCAGCCTCCGAATGGACCGCATCGGTGGTACTAAAGAAACCAATTGACGAAATACCTGTAATTGGTGGAATTAAAAAATAAGCCTAAGTGCACCTTGTAGACACGAAATCAAAATATCTTACGTCCTAACGAGACCAGCCGAAGGACTTTAACCGAGATGGCTTGAAGTGCTTGGATGATCAAAATGGGTAAAAAAGCAGAAACTTATAACCCAGTCAGCAAATCGAATGAGGAAAACAATGAGATTGGATCGAATGGAAATAAGATAGATAAAATTAAAAACAAATAATTTTAGTGGACCATGTAGACGAAGGAACTTATGTCGACAAATATATGAAAATGGCCGGATGATGGAAATGCACCAGGAGGCAAAAATGCAACCCATTCGGAAGGCTGATTAGGAAAAGAGGGAAAATGGACTGAATGGAAACAATCGATGAGAGTGCATAGTCGGCAGTGACTGATGCCCCGATGCACAGATAAAAAAGTGTACCGATGTGTAGAAAAGCATAGACTGATTGGTCAATACAGGTACACAGGTGGAATGCGGTGGATGGATTGATCGAGCACAGAGAAATTTGAGAGGGACATTCGAGGTCCATTCGGTCCAGCGAAATCTGTCGGCATTCGAAGGTCGGCTTTTCCGAAGGTCGTCGAATATCTATCGAGGGACCCGAAGGTTGGACCAGGGAAGGTCGCCAGTCCGCCTGCGAAAGGAGCGAATTACGAGAGTGCTCTTTCACTCGGCCACGCCGGTCCACCTTGCGCCCGCGCCTTGCCACGTGGGGCCTCGTGGAGCGGCGTGGAACGGTTCCGCAAAATCCTAACAAATGTCAAATATCTTAAGGTGATATGAAAGCGGCGCCAGAAAAGTCTCGTTTGTGAAACTGTTCTCCAAACTGCCCTGAAAAAACATAAATTGTTTGATTCAAGGAAAATTATTCCTTCGAATAATACTCATTCAATTATTTTATTTAAAATAAAAGCTTTTCGGAAATTAACCCAAACGCACTCGAACTCGAACGACTTTGGTCAATAAATCAAATTTGTCCACTGCGTGTACGAAAGAAGAAATAAAAAATTAAAAACCTAATCGAAATCGCAGTTGAGGAGCATCTTAATTACGGGTAAATCGTAAAGGGACATATTTAATGATACACGCTCGATTAAAATCATGAGTAACGTGTGAAACAGAAAACAAAGAATAAAAAAACCGAAGCGAAATCGCACTTGAGGTGAGAACTTCCTTTCGAAGTCATGTTTGGCAACTCGTGCAGGAATGACTCTACTTTCTCAGGCTCCAATTATTAATTCACCGACTTCGTAATTCGGGAGTTGAAAGACACCGCGGGGAGGTTGCATCGCCCGAAGTGAAGTGCAACGAGAGTGCACTAGACGGAATCGGCACGGCAAATGTGAGGAGGTCAGATTTCAAAATTGTGCAAATTGAAAATTTCGAAATTTCTGGTGAGAACGGTGGGCTTCATTGTGGGGAAAAATCGACCCTGGTGCAACAGGTCGTCGATCGAATAGATCCCCTAGGGATTGCACTCGTACTGCATCTCGTGACAAGTGTAAGTAGTCACGGTATATGACTTTCTGCGAGATTCTGCGCGCTCCTAAGCGGAGCAATTTGCTTGCGGGCTGAATCTGATAAGAGTGATATATTTCAGGGTGTGATAAATCTATCCAGGTGGATTTTGAAAAATGTCCCTGGCTACCTGTTGGGAAATTGAATCCTTGCTTCAGACTCCAAGTCTGAAATTTCCTGCGCCGTTTAATATACAGAAGAAAATATTCTCAGATGCAACTCGATTTGCATTTTAAACGTTAGGTCTACTTTTGCTTATACATTAGTGATTCGATAATTATGTATGTATACGTGGCGCTTTTTTGTTAACGTTTACGCATCCGGAGGATTTTTAGCGACTCTTCTTGCAGGGTGCATGTCAAATGCACGTGGGAGTGCAACGGCGCATCGTCATTGCGCCCGATGGAAAGGTTCTCGAATGTGGGAAAGAAAATGTCGAAATGTCACGGTTTGTTCGACGATCGACGAGACCCTCGAGATCGTTGCACACCTTCGGATTTGTCGCTGCGATATTCAGAAACGAAAGCTCACATCATCGTGTACGAGTCTCTCCAAGGACAATTTTTTTCCGTCGCCATAAAAGGCCCTTCGATTGCACCTCCTATGAAGAAATGTATACACTCTACGAAGTGGAGATGTATTTCAACGTTTTCATGATTTTCTCAACGGAGTGACTTTCCGAATTTTTCGTGAAAATTTTTCGTCTACGAAGTGGAGATGGATTTTTTAACTTTCAGATGATTTTCTCGACAGAACGATGTCCCGAATTTTCGCGAAAATCTTTCAAGACTCAACGAGGCCGCCACGGTCGATTCCGAGATTTGTCAAAAGTCAACCATTAAATGCAAAAAAAAACCCACCAGGAGGGAAATAAGAAGGAAAAAGGAGCACAGAGTCGTCAATCACCATTAACCGTGACTAGTGGCAAATCTCGAATTTGCAATTCGCCCTGGTGGCCTCTGGGGCCTCTTCCTGAGTCGTAATCGGCAGAAACTCTCCGCGATTACGTTTTCACAACTATGTCCAATCACCTAAGTGCCCTGAAGTGTACTCTAACCTGTACTAAATTACACCCTCCTACATAATAAATATTAAATATTGATTACGCTCTCTTTAAGCTCCTCATTCTGCTTAAGTAAAGTATTGCGTA